TAAAGCTGAGGAAATTTCATTAGAGTTTAAGAGAAACACGGGGCAGGCCAGCTGTCACGTCCGCAGCTACTGGGCAGAGGGCGGATGGGGACGAGGGTGGGAGAAAGCCATTCAGTTGCAAGGGAAGCCAGCAAGCAGCGACATGGCAGAAATGTGGGGGGCGGGGTGGGGGAGCTGATGAGTAAGAAAGCCCCAGAGTGTTAGAGAAAACATGCCCAGGCGTTGGCCCGTGTCCCAAAGAACTAAAAGGAAGGAAAAGTTACACTTTCTTAAACAGCGCCACAGGCAAAAAACCTCTGCAAGCAACTGCCACCTTTTACTCTCACTGGCGTGCTTTGGAGTTAAAATGTTTTTAGTATAATTCAAAATTCTGCTTTACATTTATTGTGTGTGTGTGCGCCCCTGCATGCGAGCGTGTGTGTGTGTGTGTGTGTGTGTGTGTGTGTGTGTGTGTGTGTGTGTGTGTGTGCGCGTGCGCGCACATACTTGTGTTATGGCCCACGTGGGGAGGTCGGAGGACAAATTACGGGAGTCCATTTTTTCCTCTTACCGTGTGGAGCCCAGAGATCAAACTGACATCATCAGGCTTAGCAGCAAGCCCCTTTACCCACTGAACCATCTCGCCAGCCCCCAACTGATTTTTGAAACTTGTGATCTTCTTGAACTTGCTTATTGGTTCTATCAGTTTGGGGGTGGAGGGAGTTGATCTTCCTATCTGAAAGACCACATAGCCCAGGTTGTACTGAACTTACAGTCCTCTTAGCTCAGCTCCCAGGTGCTGGAATTACAGGCATGTGTCACCACACCTTGATCTAATAGTTTGTTTGGGTGTGTCTTTGTGTAAATGCTGTGCATGTGCATGTGGTGTGTGTACAAGTTCACGTGTGTGTGGTCTCCATTCACCTACCACCAGCACTGGGGCTACCATGCTACAGACTTGGGCTACCATGCCTGACCTTCACATGTGCTGGGGATCTGAACTCTGTGTCTCCAGGCTTCTGCAGCAAACACTTTACTGATGGGACCGCCTCCCAGGTATCCTAAGAGGTTGTTGTTTTGTTTTGTTTTAAATGGGTTCCTTAGTAGTTTCTATACCAAAGATTAAGCGATCTGAAAATGTAGATGGTTTCACTTCCTAAAGGTAAATCCTTATTTTATTCCTGAAATGAAGGGAAAAGCATTTGGTCTTTTACCATTAAGTATGATGCTAATATTAGTTTGTTTAGAAGTTTCTTCTCCCTTCCTCTCTCTCTCCCTCCACCCCCTCTCTCACTTTCAATGCCCTTTACAAAGTGAGGAAGTTCTTTACTCCTCAGTTCTTGGTCTGTTGGATGCTTTTATTACGACAGGGTATTGGATTTTGTCCATTTTTTCCCAATAAATATTGAAATGATTACATGGCATTTGTCTTTTATTCTGTTGACATGATGGATAACATCAGTTGATTTCTGGATGTTAAGCCAGCGTTGAGTTCTGGGATAAATTTCACTTGGTCATGGTGTATAATCCTTTTCGTGTGTTGCTGGATTGGACTGCTAGTGTTTTGCTAAAGATTCAGGTTGATAATGATAATATATCTTGTATTCTTATAATGGTTTTGCCTGGTTTTAATATCAGGGTAGTACTTGCCTCATAGAATAAGATGGGAGCATAAGTAGATTTTTTCTTTATTTTATTTGTGTATGTGATTGAGGTGCACATGTTGTTGTATGACAAGCTTTTCCTGGGGAGAAGCAACACACACACATCTACTCACCCCAGATAGGAAACCCAGGACAGACCAAAGTACAGACACCACCAAAGTCCAACTTGGTGAACCAATGAGTTTTGTTGGGGTTACTTACAGGAATATGGGTGAGGGGTCACTTACAGGAATATGGGTGAGGGGTCACTCACAGGAATATGGGTGAGGGGTCACTCACAGGAGCAGAGAGGAAGACAACTGCATCACCAAGGACCACTCCAGCATGGTGACAGCTCACAAAGCTGGGAACCTGGAGCACACTGCACAGCCTGCAGGCAGATCAGCAGGTTGGAGAATTCCTTCCCAGGTGACTCAGTTAGCCTAAACCAATTCCAGGCAGCTCAACTGGTTTCCGTTTCTTTCATGCTGCTGGTCTCGTCTCAGAATCTTCTCTTCAGCTTGGCTTCTCTGAGTCTTCTTTGTCATTTGACTTTACTCTCTGTGAGACAGACTCTCAGCTTTTATTGTTTACTCTGGCAGGGAGGGGCACTGAGATTCTGCTCAGTTTCAGGGACTTCCTTCAGCGCTTTTGAGTTGTTTACCTTCCTGCTTAAGGAGCTTCTCTGCAGGATGCAATGTTTCAATCTCAGAGGAAACTGTCACACAACACGTGTGTGTGTGTGTGTGTGTGTGTGTGTGTGTGTGTGTGTGTGTGTGTGTGTGCGCGCGCGCGCGCGCGCGTGTGCTCACGTGTGTGGCATCCAGAAGTGGACATCAGATGTCAGTCACTTTCTACCAGGAGATTCCTGGTTCCTAGGCTCCAGAGACTAGCTCAACAACTCTGTGTCCTTGCAGAGGGCTCCAGCTAACAAATATCTGTCTGTAAGAGACTCTGTGGTGAATACTCTCACTTCCCTTTAAAACACTAACTATTAATCCCAGCACTCAGGAGGCAAACATATCTCTGTGAGTTCGAGGCCAGCCAGAGCTACCTAGTAAGACCTTGCCTCAAAAATAAATGTATGTAGCCGGGCGGTGGTGGCGCACGCCTTTAATCCCAGCACTCGGGAGGCAGAGGCAGGCGGATCTCTGTGAGTTCGAGGCCAGCCTGGTCTACAGCGTGAGATCCAGGAAAGGCGCAAAGCTACACAGAGAAACCCTGTCTCGAAAAACCAAAAAAAAAAAAAAAAAAAAAAAAAAAATGTATGTAAATGTCTTAGGCATTCAGCCTGCTTTCTTATACACCCCAGGGACACCTGCCCAGGGATGGCACTACTCACAATGGGCTGGGCCCTCCCATATCAATCACTAATTGAGAAAATGCATACAGGGCCTGGTGGTAGTGGTGCACACCTTTGACACCCAGAACTCAGAGGCAGAGGCAGGTGGATCTCTGTGAGTTCAAGGCCACCCTGGTTTACAGAACCAGGGGTACACAAAGAAACCCTGTTCAAAAGAAAGAAAGAGAGGGAGGAAGGGGAGAGAGAGAGAGAGAGAGAGAGAGAGAGAGAGAGAGAGGGAGGGAGGGAGGGAGGGAGGGAGGGAGGGAGGGAGGGAGGGAGGGAGGGAGGAAGGAAGGAAAGAAAGAAAGAAAGAGAAAGAAAGAAAGAAAGAAAGAAAGAAAGAAAGAAAGAAAGAAAGAAAGAAAGAAAGAAAGAAAGAAAGAAAGAAAGAAAGAAAGAAAGAAAGAGGGGGCTGGAGAGATGGCTCAGAGGTTAAGAGCACTGACTGCTCTTCCAGAGGTCCTGAGTTCAATTCCCAGCAACCACATGGTGGCTCACAGCCATCTGTAATGAGATCTGGCGCCCTCTTCTGACCTGTGGTCATACATGCTGTATACATAATAAATAAATAAATCTTTAAAAAAAAAGAAAGAAAGAAAGAAAGAAAATGCCCTGCAGAATTTCCTACAAGCAAATCCTATGAAGAAATTTTCTCAAGTGAGAGTCCCTCTTCCCAAATGAGTCTAGCTTGTATCAAGGTGACATAAATCTAGCCAACACAATAAATAAATACACAGAGCAGACTTGCCTGAGTTGACTGAACTAGAAAAATAACATTTCACAACCCGAGAACCTCAGAGCTTCCTAGCCTGTTCGAATCCACAGTGAGTGTCCAACTGTGGATTCAGTATCCAACTGAGCTGAGGCACGCATTGCTTCCCCAACCCAGCAGTCTCCACATGCCTTTGGTTTTGGAGAAGCACTCCACAGCACTGATGTTCCATGGCACTCACTTTGGGACACTCAGTCCCGGAAGGACTTACCCGTCCCTGCAGCTTCATGGGATTTTTTTTTCTTCTTCTCAGAACTCATCTCTGGCCTGCAGCTGATTCTGGACATGTTTCTATCCATCAGAAGTTGGCCTGGGCCTCTAGTCGGGTTGAGTGACTTATGCATTTCCCTTCAAAAGCCAACTTTCAGAAGGTATCTCAAACTCAATAATCAGGATAAATTAATATTTGGAAGTCAGCTTGATAAGATAACTTGCTAGGCAGCCAGAGGCGTGGAGGTGAGACTCAATAGTACAGGAGGTGCTTAGTGATTCCCGTGGCTGGGCCTGAGCACCAGTCTGTCTGGGTAGTCAGGCCAGGCCTATGTCCCCATGGCTTGTGACTCCGGCCGGAGGTGGAGCAGATCCTTTTCCCTCACCTCTGAACTCACCCTTGGAGGAGCAAAGACTTCAGGGCCCCATGAAGAACAGACTCAACACTGTTTCTTCACCTCCGAGTGTCTTTAGAGCATCTAAGCCGCTACGAGGCACAAGGGAACTTGGTCACTGCAAGCTGTCAATTGGGTGGATTTCATCAAGAAAGCTTCCCCAGGGACTCGGAGCAGCATAGGAGGGGATGATCAGTGTGTGCACAAGTGTGTGTGTGTGCAAGTAGAAGCCAGAAGTTCATGATATCTTCGTCGGCTGCTCTTCTGCCTTATTTTCTGAAGCAGGGACCTCTTTTTTTCTTTCTTTTTTAATCATTTTATTATGTGTATGAGTATTTTGCCTACATGCATGTCCATGCACGACCTCTGTGCCTGGTGCCCAAGGAGGCGAGAAAGAGCATTGGATCCTATAGAACTGAAGTTACAGATGGTTGTGAACCGCCTTGTGGGTGCTGGGAATTGAACCTGGGTCCTCTGGAAGAGCAGCCAGTGCTCTTAACCACTGAGCCAGCTCTCTAGCCCCAGAGAAAGGCAGGGTCTTCCACAGAACCTGGAGCTCACCCATTTGGCTAGGCTTGCTGGCCAGTGAGATCTAGGAATCCTTCTGTTTCCAGCCCACCCCCACCCCCACCCCCCCCACCCCCGGTGCTGGGGTTATGGACACAATCTCCTGGGTCAGGCTTTTATGTGGATACTGGAGATCCAAATCCAGGTCCTCGTGCTTGTGCGGCAGGTACCAATTGAGCTGTCTCCGCAGCCCCCTGAGTAGTTTAGTTTTTTGTTTTGTTTTGTTTTGTTTTTTCTGGTTCCTCACTTTGGATGTGTTCCCAAACACAAACTGAAGTGAAAGCATAAGGAGGGCTGTGTGCCAAAGTGTTCCTGGAAAAAGTTTGCCCTTTCGGGAATATCCTTCCTCTTTGTATCCAATTGAGCTTGACCTCAAATGTGCAAGTTGTAACATTCAGAAGAGTTGGGTTGGGGCCTGACTGGGCTCAGGCTAAATGTTGGTGATTTGTGCAATCATCATGGCCTGATGAGGTTCCAGAGCTGTGAGGCCCTCAGCCCTGACTTTGGAAAAACATCTGAAAGTCAAGAGTAGTTACCCAGGACCAACTTCCTGGCCACGCCCTTCTGTCTGACTGCAGGATGCTCCACTGCTGCTCACTCACTCCTGTATCTCATTAAAAGCCCTTTGTAAGTCTCCTGTCTCTTCCTTGGAATTTCCACTTCTTCTCTGTTCCCAGAACTATAAAACCTTGTCAATCAGTTGGTAACCACCGGAACAAGAACAGAGCGCCCTTGAAATACGGTGGCTCCACGGTGAACTGTAAAGGAAAGGAAATGATTGGGCTCTCTCCCTGTACTGAAGATAAGCCTCCAGCTGATCACAGGAGACGACTTTGCGGTAAAATGCTGGTCTCCATGGCCTCGGCTTGTCGACACCTCATAAATTGACTTAGAGTTGCTTCATAACCCTCCGAGCACAGTGGTGTCTTCTGGGAAGGAAGCTGTGCTGTCACTCAGTTGTGTTAAACAAATAAATGTCAGAAAGCAGGGCAAGATGGACCCCGGGGAAGCTACACAGATGTGCTCTTTCTCTCCACATTCTACGCCATTTATAGTTTGCACACCACCAAGAGATTTCTTCTTCCATGGACTGAGTTTCAGGCAGCAGAGAAGACACCTGAGAAAGGGTAGGAGACCCCTAAAGTCACCCCTAAAGGAGGCAGCAGTCCTTTGGCGATACATTAGAGCCACCTGGGGTCCTCCAGAAAGTCCCCATGTCCAGGCCATACCCCGGTCTGATTGCATCATAATCTCTCAGGATGGAGGCCAGGCTCCAGGGTTTCTTCAAGTTCCCCAGTGATAGAAGCCAGGCTCAGAACCACGGAGTCAAACAATTCTGAATCAGATGGAGCCAACTGAGGGTGGAGCTGCTTTGATTGTAGGTGATGAATGAATGTCTGCCATTTGTGTAGGCAAAGGTGTGTGATCGCCGGCAAGGGCAAGTCCCCTGATCTTTTGAGGCCTCATCTGAAAAGCGAATGTCCTGGCAGGGCTACTTACGGGTTAAAGGATAGATATTTGTAAGGGCTTGGCTCTACGCCCGGCTCATAGAACATGTCCAGGAACTTGTCATGATTACCAGTGTTTACACCGACATCCTCTGTGAAGAGTACACAACAAAACCACAGCTCCTCAGTTCTAGCGATATGTGCTGCCCACACTTATTTATATCCTTTAAGGTGAGGTGTGAGTCAGGCGAGAGCCCAGCAGGCAAAACTACTTCCGGTTGCCGGAGTTTGGGCCCAGGAGTCCATACAACAAGCTGGATGTGGTGGCGAGGGTCTGTGATCCCAGCACCCCTACACTGGAGATTCGAAGTTTAGACAGGAGAATCATCTGGAAGCTTGCAGGACAGCTAGCCTAGAGTGCGTAGTATAGCAACAGAACCAATGAGAGAGACCTGCCTCAAAAAATAGCAAGCAAGAACCAACTTCCGAAAGTTGTCCTTGAACCTCCACGTGCACACTGTGGCACATGCAGGCCTGCACCTGCATACACACACACACACACACACACACACACACAATAAATTTTTAAAAAGTGAGATGTGTCTTATCACTGATGGTGATTGGTGTTTGGTGACATAGAAACATGACACTCACCAGTGCCAGGCATCACAGGCTATTTCTGCTCATGGCTACCCTTGATTGATTTTCCCATAATCCATCAGAAGAGTTGTTTGTGGGTTTTGTTTTGTTTTGTTTGTCGAGACACAGTATGTAGCCTAAGTTGGCCACTCTTGATCCTCCTGTCTCAGTCTCCCAAATACTGGGATAACAGGTGTCATCACTACCCATAGCAAAACGAGTATTATTTTATCTTTCCTCATGTCACAGATTGGTAAACTGAGGCCCAGAATTTAAATTCTTGAACTCACTTGAAGATTGGAATGGGAGCTTTGGGCAAGTGACTAAGCTAACTTCTCTGCCCTATGTAGCTCAGGGAGACTAGAGACCCCTGAACAGAGCAAAGTGGCCCAGACCGTGGCCCAGAGCCACTGTGTTTGCATCCTGCCCTGTTCCCACTTAGCGTGGCTCTGAGCTACAGTGCAAGAAAGCCTATGTGCCTTTGTATGGGTTTGCAAGAGTGAGGCCTGGCCTATCTCGCTCAGGCTACCTGGCTGGTTCCCCATTCTTCTCTCCCCTTACTGTGCTGACTCACAGACCCTCCCCCTGACCACCACAGGAGACCACTGGAACACCTTCTCCAGCTCATTCCACTTGGTTGGGGCCTGAGTCAATAGCACGGATCACTTCTCTCCTGGCAGTTCAGTCATCTCGGGCTTCCAATCTTGTTTCTACTCTGTCTGTCCTGGGTCAGCCTGTCCCATGGGTCTCGCTCATCCTGTCGCCAGAGTGATCTTCCACCACACCAGGCATTCTGCGGAGAGCTTTGTATGAACTGCCTTCCTCTCTCTGCAGCTGCCCATGGAGCTAAGTGGAACTCATGTCCCCATTACACCCGTTTATTTAAACAGGGGCTCATTTTGTAGCCTAGACTGGCCTGGGATTGACTGTAGCCCTTAAACCTGTAGCAACTGTCCTGTCTCAGCCTCCCAAGAGCTGAGATTACAGATGTGAGCCATCATACCGGGCTCATTATCCCCTCTGTGAACCTGGAATTCAAGTGGCTGAGCCAATGCTTGCTGAGATGAAATATGAACCCAGACTCCCCAGACGAGTATTTCTGCTAAGACCTTCTTCCAAGAAGGAAATGTTCACTGAATCCATTCTGCCAGGTGCCTCTAGAGGGCCTGGCACTGGGAATGAAGTGGTGAGCTGGGCAGGTTAAGACGTGGCCTCAGGGACCTCCTGAACAGAGGGCAGAGGGCTCTTGCACACTGCGAAGCGGCCGCTTCCCATGCTGAAGGCTGTAAGGGAAGCCATCAGGAGGCTGGAACTGGGAGACGCCCCAGGGCTCGCCTAGCCAGAGTGGCAGGAAGTGAGGGAAAGAAACCAGGAAAAGGGCCAGCTTGCTTCCAAGGGAATCAAGGCTGCTCGGACACTGTGCCCTTGGGAGAGCCACTACATGACCCTCAGGTGTCCAGCAGAGCAGTGACAAGATGAGATCTGAGTCCTTGAGGGCCATCCACCAGCCGCAAATTCTGTCACAGTACCTATCAACATGGTGACAGGCCCTGCCACCTCACCCAGCCTTCCCAGCAAAAGAAGAGCTGAGCCACAGAGTCAAGGGCTGCCAGGCCAAGAACCACATGTGCCACCCAGTCTCGGCTGGTTCTCAGGAAATGAGGAAATAGGGAGACAGCAAAGTGGCTTAACTCAGCTAGAGGAGCTGGAAGGCTTCCATCTGAAACCTCCATGAAATTAAAACCTAGCCCAGACCAGCACTGCCAGATGGAGTTGATCTCTTCATAAACTTCTCTCGGAGGCCCTGAGTCCAGCCTTGGTACTCAAGCCATTAACATCCAGGATTCTCTCAGCTGAGCCAAAATCTACTGCAACAGTATACAGCAGATGACTTTTGACCATATTTCTTATTTTTTCTTTTACTTTTTATTTAATTTTTTGTTTTTCTTGTTTTATTTGTTTGTTTTTTGAAGAGGGTTTCTATGTGTAGCTTTTGGAGCCTATCCTGGAACTCACTCTGTAGACCAGGATGGCCTCGAACTCACAGAGATCCACCTGCCTCTGCCTCCTGAGTGCTGGGATTAAAGGCGTGTGCCACCCCTGTCGGGCTTGACCATATTTCTACTTGTGAAATTACATATATCTAAAGGTAGTAAACTGTTTTCTAAAAGGAAATGGTGGCCTGCGCCTTTAATTCCAGCACTCAGGAAGCAGAGGCAACCAGATCATCCATAGTTCTGGGCCAGCCAAGATAACATAGCGAGACCCTGTCTCAAAAAAACAAACAAACAAACAAAAACCAAACAGCAAACAAAAATTTGCTGGGCATGATAGTACACACTTGTCATGTCCATCACTTGGTGCATAGAGGCAGGAGGGTCAAGAGCCAAAGGCCAGCCTCTGCTACATAGCGACTTTGACACCAGCCTGGGCTACATAAAGGTCCTATCCCAAAACTAACAAACACAAACTGTGGGGCTGGAGAGACGCCTCAGTCGGTAAGGTGCTTGCCATGTAAGCATGGTCTCCAGCACCGATGGAAAAGCTGTGTGTCGCATACACATAGTCAAACACTAGACCAGAAGCAGGCAGCTCCTGGCGCCTCCTGGCCAGTTAGCCTAGCCTGGGCAGAGAGTTCCAGGTCCCAGGAAGAGAGCCTGTCTCAAGGAAACAAGGTGCACAGTTCCTGATGAACGAAACTCAGGATTGACCTCTGACCTTCACACAGACACTCACATATGTGCACGTACACCTACACACAAGATCAATCGATTGATGGATCTCTCTCTCTCTCTCTCTCTCTCTCTCTCTCTCTCTCTCTCTCTCTCTCTCTCTCTCTCTCTCACACACACACACACACACACACACACACACATCTGGATTCTGTACCTGGAAGGTGCATACACTGTCGTGACAGTTAAGGGCACAGCTGTAAAGGTGAGCAGGACCATAGGAGGGCGAGGCTGCATCCAGAGAACCTAGCTCAGGGTTAGGTATGAGTGCCCAGGGTTCTGTCCCTGCCTTGAGCAGGTTGGGCCCCAGCCCCAAACTGGACAGAGACACAGTTCAGATGATCAGGGACCTATAGGCGGACAGCAGGGAGACCTGGGACACCTGCCAGCCACCCATCAGCACAGCCTAGCAAGGTCCCAAGCCTTCCTAGGGTTACTCCAGCCCTCTCTCTCCCCTTGTTAGAAGAGCTAAGTGTCCCTTACACACACACACACACACACACACACACACACACACACACACACACACCCTAGGGGTAGCTACCACAGGAAGCCAGAATTGACAGATCTCAAGTCCTGTCCCAACTCCGTCTCTTCTAGATGTTTGGACTTTCTAGACTTGGACAGGGCACCCAGCCCTGGGGAAACAAGGTAAGTAATCTCAGGAGACAGTCTCAAAGGCTGTGATGACTGACAGAGCCTGGGGGAAAAGCTGGTTTCTGAACTGGACCAGAGCACTTTATTAGATTGATGATTGATGCCTGGCTCCTGTCCAAGAGGGACAGGCAGGAGAGAAGAAGAAGTTATGGGAGATGTGACACCCTATAGCTAGGGATTCTCCTCTGCATGGGCTCAGAGACTCATACACTGTAAAAAGAGCCAGGGCTTCCTCCAGTCAAGCCCTGGCCAAACACAGTTCCACAGGAGCAGAGGGAGGCAGGTGCTCTAATTCCTCCATCCCACAGGGAAAACTGAGGCTCAGTGACATCTGGGGATGGGCTTCTGTGCTGCATGGCCTTATGGGTAACACAGCTTCTAGGAATCATTTACCTCTCTCTCTCTCTCTCTCTCTCTCTCTCTCTCTCTGTGTGTGTGTGTGTGTGTGTGTGTGTGTGTGTGTGTGTGTGTGTGTGTGTGTGTGTGTGTGTGAATGCCATGGCTTGCATGTAGAGGTCAGACAATAACTTTCAGGAGTTGGTTCTCTCTTTCCATCATATGAGTTCTGTAGATTGAACTCAGGTCATCAGACTTGGCAGTAAGATCCCTTACCCACCCAGTCATCTCACTGACTCCTGTATAATACATTTTTAATTTGTGTGGGTATATTCATGTGCATGTCTGTACACAACTGCATGTGCACATTTGTGTGCACATGGATGGAGCCCTAGGCTGGTGGTGTTCATCAGTAGCCCTCCATGTCGTTTTGTGAGACAGGGTCTCTCACTGGGACCCAGGGCTTGCCCATTAGCCTAGGCTGGCAGTCCAGGGAACCCCAGGGATCCAGTACCCAGGATAAACGTCTCCCGTGCTAGGATCACAAGTATGTGCTGTCACGGGACTGGGCTTGTCTGTTTTGTTTTGTTGAGAGAGGGTCCTGTGTAGTCCTGGCTGACCTGGAACTTGCTATGTAGACCAGACTGGCCTTGGACTTGGAGAGATCCACCTGCCTCTGCCTCCCCAGTGCTGGGACTAAAGACATGTGCCCCGTACTTGGCACTGTGTTTTTTCTGGGTCCTGAGGGCCCTTGCACTTGCATGGTAAGCACTTTATAGACTGGGTCGGCCTCTCAGACCCTTTTAATTGTGTCTTTAATGCATGAAAGGATTCATAAAGGAGAAAGCCAGCTGTGACCCTGGTTCCCATGACTCTGTCCTCACCTGGGAGGGGAAAGGCACAGACAACGTCTTACTTACAACCTTGCCTTGTTTGGATTAGCAAAGCCAGAACAGAAGTCCCCTGAAGGAGTGGAAGCTCTCGGCC